TCATCACCTTGAATATTTCTTGCCATTCCCTTCTGGCCTGCATGGTTTCTGTTGAGAAGTCAGCTGACAATCGTATAGGTGCTCCTTTATAGGTAACTACCTTCTTTGCTCTTGCTTCTTTTAATATTCTCTCTTTGTCTTTTGCTCTTGGAATTTTAAGTATGATGTGTCTTGGTGTGGTCTTTTTTGGATTCCTTTTGTTTGGAGTTCTGTGCGCTTCCTAGATTTGTAAGTCTAATTCTTTCATCAGGTGGGGGAAGTTTTCTGTCACTATTTCTTTCAGTATGTTTTCCATATCTTGCTCTCTCTCATCTTCTGGGACCCCCATAATTCTGATGTTGGTTCGCTTGAAGTTGTCCCAGAGGTTTCTTACATTATCTTTAATTTTCTGGATTCTCTTGCCTTCTAGCTTCTGTGGAGGAGTGTCTTCTGACTCTGTATGTTCCAAATCTTTGACTTGATTCTTGCGATCTTCCATTCTGTTTTTAGGACTCTATATAATATTTTTTATTTCAGAGAATGTATTTTTTATTTCTTGTTGATCCCTTATCATTTCTTGTTGATCCTTTATCATTTCTTGATGACTCCTTATTAATTCTAGTTGATCTCTTTTCATATCCACATAGGTCTTATCCATCTTTTCTAGGAAATTCTTGAAAAACCTTATAAGCATAGATTTGAACTCTATATCCAGATGCTTTTTGTCCTCCATTTCTTTCGTTTGTAATCTATTTCTTTGTCACATTTCGCAGTTACAGATGGGACGGGGTTTCAGGGTGGAGCCTGCAGCTTTGGCTTCCGTCAGCCCCGCCCTATGCGGGTCCTTCAGTGCTCGCTGCCGGCGCCTCTGAGAGAAAGGTGCCCTCGATTTTCGCCTGCTGCCAAACAATCTATGCTCTCCCACAATGAGCCCGGTATTGGGGTTCAGTTCAGTTGGAAGTGGAGTTGGAGGTGTGCGCGCCTCCGGGACCTCCTTTCACCTCTCCCCGAGGTTCCACCTTACAGCCCGGCTCCCTATGGCTGAGCCAGGGTCCCTGGGGTCTGGCCTAGAACTGGGGTTCAGAGCAGTCGGGGGCCCTGCACAGTAGAAGTGTTTATCTCCTTCCCGCTAGGGAACGCCAGGCACTCAGCCTCCCTCCTCTCCGGCTCCGTCCTCTTCATGCACAGCGTCTCCGTACCTTGGGCTTTTCCAGCTCCTCCGCACCTCCTTCTGGTTTTCTCCTTGCTTCTCGCTGTAGAATTTCCAGTCAGTCAACCTTCCTGTAGTTCTGGGCAATGTCTGTTTTATATTTTAGTTGTTTTTTATTGAAATTGTTGTGTGTGGCTGCGGCTAGGTGTTCACCTGGATGCAGTCATCTTGGATCTAGTCTCGTGGTTTTAAATGGCAGCTTTAAGCTGATTACGACAGAATTTATATCTCAGCAGAGATTTCTGCTATGAAGTCCAGATTCGTATGTGCAGCTGCCCACTTGGCATCTCTTTTTGGTTGAATAATAGGCATATTAAACTCAACATGTCCCAAACTCAACTTTTCATCTCCACATCATTCCTTTCTTGGTAAATGACAACTCTACTCTTTAGTTGCTTAGGCCAAAAAATTTTGGAATTATCCGAATCTCCCTCATCAGTCTACTAATAAATCCTGTTGTCTTGCTTCTCATGTATCTGAAATATGATTACCAGTTACCTTCCTGCTGTTGTCTTTCTACAATAGCTCAAGGCTCTGTCATTTTCCATTTTCACCATTGTAATATCTTTTAACGAATCTCTCTGCTTCCATTTTACCCCATCTCCTCACAGCATCCAGAAAAATCTTTCTGCGGTATAAGCATAGTATCATGTCACTTGACATCAATTGAGTTTCTCTGGAAGCAGCCTGAAGTAGAATTTAGCATGTAGAACTATTTTAAGGAGTGTCTTAACATATGTAGATCCCAAGGGCTAAGATGGCCAGGCCTTTATGCTCCCTCATAAAGGAGGATAGGGTCTGGATTGGTCAGACAGAGAATTCAGGATGTTATACTGGCCCACTGACAGGATTGGCCAACCACATGATGGACTTTAGAACTAGAATGGTGTGGAGAGCGACTACAGCGTTCAGACAGGATCAAGCCTTGGATCAAGCAAAGCCCTCCCAAAAGGCTATGGTTGTAAGCTTGACCTTATAGTGGGACCCTGCAGTCCTAGGTAGCTAAGGAATGTGGGTGGCAGGGGTGCAGCAAGTGCTGCCTAAACAATGTTTGATAGAGTTCAGAGAATGGCAACAACAGGAAATAAGCAGATTTGAAACTGGCAAGAACATTGTAAACATCTTGCCCTTGTTTTGCTTTGTGTGATCTGACTATAAAATAAAGCTTCAGCTTACAGCTGTGTCACTGTTTCCTCATCCACCCACAGTGATCCACCTGGTCCCAACTGTATTCTCTTGTCTGTCTTCTTTAATCCTTCACGGCCCCTACTCAGGTTCACCCCTGGCCATGCTGGACGGGGTTCAGAATGGCCCTTCAGAACTGCTTCAAGTAGGGCTAAGATGGCCAGGTCTTTATGCTCCCTCATCAGTCATTCATGCATGTGGTCTCTCCTGCGAAGGGCACAACCTCATGCAGGGCATCCCTCTGCCAGCCAAAAGCACTTCCAGACAACAGGGAGTATCTGGATGGTACCACACAGGATCCATGACTCCTCTACCCATTTCCTTCCAGTTGTTTCCTATTTCACTCAGAATAAACCCAAAGTCTTTACCATGTCTCTCTGACCTCATCTCCTACCACTCTTCCCTTCACTCACCCCACAAACCACATTAGGGACCTAGAAGTTTCTTGAACTTCCCCTTCTCCTACCTCTCACCATTATGCTCCTATCTCCAACACTTGCTATTTCTTCCTTCTGCAAAGTTCTTCCCTGCAGATTTCTACAGGGCTGGCTCCTTCACTGTATTCAGGTGTCTGCTCAAAATTTGTTTCATCAGAGGAGTCTTTTCTCACTAACTTGTAGCAAATAGTACACCGCCCTTTCACCCTTTTCCCTTAGTTCACAGTTTTCCTGCATAATATGAGCACCATGGCATGGTGCATTGTCTTGTGGGAAGAAGGCATTTCCATGATACGCCATCAACATGATAGGATGAACTTGATCAGCAATGATACTTAGGTATGTTGTGCTATTCAGACGTTGTTCCACACGAATTAAAGGGCCCAAATCATGCCAGGAAAACATGCTCCAAACCATAGCACTGCCCCCACCAGCTTGAAGGGTTGTACTTATGCATGTGGAGTACATGCTTTCATGCTGTTTCCTTGAAATTCTCACTCTGCCATCTGCATGATGCAACTGAAAACGTGATTTATCAGACCACATGACTTTTTTCCAATGATCGACTGTCCAATCCTTGTGTTCCTGTGTGAATTGGAGACGTTTTATCTTGGTAACTGCAGACAGCAAAGGTGTTTGAATAGGCCTTCGGCTTCCATATCCCATACAATACAGTGTACGGCTAATTTGTCTACAAACATCAGGTGGTTATAATAATCTGGCCACTCAGTGTATATAGTAGGCTTCTATAGATGTAATGGAATAATGTATATAAAGCATCATTAAACACCAGATGGATAACATTGACAATCTACTTATAAGCATAATGCCTAGCTCAATAGTTGGTCATTATGTTTTTCATTTATGATAAACATATGGAATGATTTGCGGTTAGAGTTGTTTTTTATGAACCTGTGATTAAGTTATGCAAATAAAATTTTCAACTCATCATTTTAGAGTGTGCCCTGCAGAAAGCCTGGGCTGATATATCAATGTTTTTAATAGAGAGAAAATTGTTAATTTTACATTAGAGAGTTTCAACCCAACAAAAAATTTTTTTAAATATATTTTATTGACTTTTTACAGATAGGAAGGGAGAGGGATAGAGTTAGAAACATCGATGAGAGAAACATTGACCAGCTGCCTCCTGCACACCCCCTACTGGGGATGTGCCTGCAACCGGAATCGAACCTGGGACCTTTCAGTCCACAGGCAGACGCTCTCTCCACTGAATCAAGCCGGTTTTGGCCCAACAAAAATTTTAATGTATGGTGTTGGAGAATGTTTCCATTAAATCCAATGTGGGGAAAGGAAAATTCCAAAGGAATCTTATGATTTCTTTTGCAGGAAAAAAAAAGTCATCCTTTTGCAATCAGAATCATCATTCTATAATTGTTTTGCAAATTTGGATGTATGAATTTCTGCAACTCTGTGGAAGGACTTGCTGCAATGCTTCTTACAGTGTGTGTATCTATTTACTGCATAAAAGGCCCTTCGGCAGTTATACTGATGGTTGAAAACGTAGAAGGGAAGTCAGAAAATACATGTTTAAGTTCTTGTCAATCTGTATATAGAAACAATTTAAAAACTTTAAAGAAAAATACCTTTGCAGAATTAAATTGCCATTTCACAAATAGTGTGTGTGTGTGTGTGTATATATACATACATACATACACACACACACATATATATATTTAAAGTATTACATATAGTAGTACATATATCTCCTTTTTACAAATAGTTCTTAATCTAGTAAACGTTCCTCTAGGCAATAACAGCAACAAGAGCAAGTAGGAAAGTGAGAAATACCTTCGAATGTCTGCTGTAGCCCCCTGCGTTAGACTAAAAGCAGGCGGACAGGAAAGGCTGCTAAGCAGGGAGGTTTGCACTACAATACAAAGCGGGAGCAATACCCAGGCCAACCCATATCACTCACTACAAGTGACATCCGCCCAACTAGACAGAGCTCGAAATACCAGCCCTCTCTCCAATTAAGTCTTCTATTTCACCATTCTGCGTGAAAATAAAGCTGGACTTAAACAGCAGCAGGGAGGAAACACTAGCGGATTCCTTGAACCTGCAAGGAAAACGCAGGCTTCCCATTGGCCCAAGGGCGTCCAATCGGCGCCCGCTTCTCAAGGGCCAATCAGAGTTTGTCTTACATTGAGACGCAGGGGCGGGGTAGGGGAGGAGCCGGAAGTCCCTGTCTCCCGGGTGTTGCTGCTATTGTGACCGGGAGGGCTGTGCGCTCCTGGGCCTCCACTTGTTACCTGAGCTCTGAGGGCCGAGCAGTTCAGCCCTGCTCTGTGCTGGCTGGGTTTGCCTGTATTTGTTCCCAGTCACTGCTCATGTAATGCACTCCCTTAGCCAGGAAATTAAAGCATTCTCCCGGAATAATCTCAGGAAGCAATGCACCAGGGTGACAACGCTAACTGGGAAGAAAATTATAGAAACCTGGAAAGATGCCAGAATTCATGTTGTGGAAGAAGTAGAGCCGAGCAGTGGGGGTGGTTGTGGTTATGTGCAGGATCTTAGCTTGGACCTGCAAGTTGGCGTTATTAAGCCATGGTTGCTCGTGGGTGAGTATATCGATTTGTCACTGAGTCCTCTGATCGTATTATTTTATTGCTTATCTTAATCTATTAATAGTTTGTATTACCTGCTGTCCTGCCGAAGAAGTTAAAATGTTCCCCTTTTTGGGACACGGGACTTCCATCAGCTAGACAAGTTTCTGCCCCCATAGAAAGTATAGGTTTTAGTAGCACAGAGCACCTGGTATTTGAATTTTAGGAAAAGTTTCTTCCTGTTTTTCTCCCTAAACTCTGGAGAATAACACATTAATATGTGTGTGTGTGTGTGGGGGGGGGGGTTATTATAAAAGAATATGGTTTTTAAAAATCAAATGAAAAATAATGCTTTTATTAGGAAAAACTTCGTTTCAATTTAAAATTATAGAATAGTACTTGAAATAGTCAAGTGCTTGTTTGCCTGTTCTGCTGTTAAAAACCGTAAGGAAGGCATGCTTCCTGTGACCACATCTGTCCATTATAGTATGTTAAGGAAAAGGTGGGCTTTATTTTATAGCTATGAGTCTGATGGTTTTATGACTTTCTGTATTATGGAAAATGCTGATTTTTCTATCCAAAGATTAGTCCACGAATAGCAAACAAAGCACAGTTATAAATGTATAAACTTGTAGCTTGGCAAGACTATGGTACAGTAGTCTTAAAAAAAATAGTAAACAATTTTTTCAAGTTAGTTTGAATTATTTTTCATTTATGAGTAGAGAAATTAAGAATTGGAAAGATGAATAATTTGTCAGTATTTATGCAGCCACGCCGTTCTTGAGTGAAAGCAGTGGGCTGGGAGTCAGAAATAGCCAAATACAGCATCTCACTCCTTTTAAAAACTCTGAAGTAGTGATCATCAGCTCCATTTTTCAGATGAGAACTGGATTAAGATAAGTAAAGTAATTTGCACAAGGTTAAAACACCAGTATTTAATAACTGGACATCAAGCTCAAGTCTGATTGACTCCTGCTCTTTGTGAACAAATGGACTCCCTCAGGGAGTCCAGGTTTTCGGCTCCTCTGTGCCTCTAGCTTAACTAGATGAGCTAGAGCAAGTCATCTTTCCTCTCTGGTAAAGCTGAAGTAACAGAATCTGCTTCTCTCACAGGATTGTTCTGAGGTTATTGTAAAAGGGTTTTTGTGTTGTGTCTGTGAAAGATTTTTGAAACCAATTGCAGTATACATATGATTTATGATTGTGTTGTGTATTATATGAATTGTTACATGAGCTATCTTTAAATTCACCAAATAAATACCTCCAAGTAGTTTCTGCAGTAGTGAAAAATAAAGTGGGTTTATCTAGCTAGTCTGGAGACTTCACCCAGGACTTGCACACCTAGGAAAGGATATATATCCAGGCACATTTTTCAGTTATTTGGCTCCTACTGTAGTAATAATGGTTTGAAATTACTGGAGAATTTTAAATTTTGCTTATTATTACTTTTTATCTAGACGTATCCAAAGTGAGTTGATCAAGGTAGCGTTCTCATATTGGCATTGGGATCCTTCCCAGGACCCTGGAGAGTTTTGGGGGGCTTGTGAAACGGGTCCCTATTTGGTCCCCTCTCTGGACCAGGAAATGGGATCTTTTCATGGGGCACAGCCTCCTTTCTTCTGAGAGGAAGAGGGACCTTCTGCTTAGTTACAAGTGCCTATTCCTGAGGGACCTTGGGTGGTTCCATCTAAAGTTCTTCCACATGAATGATGCAGGGGTTGTTTCGGACCAGACTAGGTTTCTTGCTGGAGATGGGGGTTGTTTCTAGGTTGCCTCCAACAGCTTCTTTCACCTCTTCAAAACTACCCAACTCCAACCCAGCACTACCTGCCAATTAATTTTTTTGTTTTTGGTGGAGAACAAAGACAATGAAGAACTAAATGTAATACACATATTTATATAAAATATAATCTGTCTTTCTAAAATATAAGTTTAAAATATATTCTGTCTTTAAAAGTGTAATCTGTCTTTTTCAGTTAGTTCATGAATTCAAACAAGCATCTACCTTTCAAAAATCTCATATAGGCCCTTGCACTATCTGACAGGTTGCTAAAAGATGTTAGTGAGAATTTTTGTCCTAGGCTTTGCAGATTATATTTTTCCAATAAGGACTTTGCTTCAGTTGAACTACATTCGTAAATGAAGAAAGTGTTGTCCTAGCTGGTGTGGCTCAGTTAGTCGGGCACTGAAGAGTCACTGGTTTGGTCCCAATCAGGGCCTATGCCCAGGTTGCAGGCTCCATCCCCAATGTGGGGCATGCAGAGGGCAGCCAATCAATGATTCTTTCTCATCATTGATGTTTTCATCTCACCCACATTCACTTTCTCTCTGAAATCAATAAAAAAAAATATTTTAAAAAAGAATACTAAATTCGTATCAACATACTCATATTCTGAAAGTCACTTTCAAAATATGGCAGACAACTCTGAAGTATAATAGACCTGTTCCTTTTGGTGTGTGTGGGGAGGAGGGAGGGTGTGTGTGTGTGTGATGGAAATGATCAAAGTATCCAGTTTTGATAAATATAATAATGACCGTTTAGGGTGAAAATAGGAAAGAATTTCTATTGTATGTTTCTTTTTTCTTTTTTCCTTTTTTGTAAGGACTTGTCAAAGTAGAATTATTATTTAAAAAATGAATACATGTTAAACCATCACATTTCAACTTATTTTTTTTCAAATAATTTTTTTTGATCCCGTTTCCCCTCTCTGGAGATGGTAAGGACTTCTGATAGAGAGCTTAGAATTTTTTTAATTATGGAGTATTTCAAATGCATAGAAAATTTCAGACAATACTGTAACAGGCAATTGTGTATCTACCATTCGGCTTTAACAAATGTTAATATTTTGATAGGCTAACTTTTAAGCAAAATAAAGCTCAGTGAGGAGCCTGTGAGCTTTGTATTATCAAGAGAATATTGACCAACCAGCCCACTTATTGGCCTTTCAGCTACCTAAAACCATGTCAGAGAAGTTGGCAGATTTCCCAAATAGGTAAGGCAAGAAAAACATTGTTTATGGAAATAAAATCTAATTCAGGAAAGCAAAATACTTGATTAATAAATATCCTATTTTTTCATTGTATTTTTCCCCCCACTTTAACTAGTTATTCACTTGCAAGAATTTGCTTACTAACTAGAATCATTCTCCAAGTGTGGGAGATCTGGGAAGCAAACTTTGACAGGAAGAAACTGTAAAAGGTACAGCTCTAGCGATGCACAGAATGTGGGTGGAATTCTATAGACCACAGTGCTTGCTTTAATCTACTTGGTGCTCCCAAACCAGCCGGTACAAGTCTTTTTAAATATATTCTTTTTATTTTTAAAAATTTCAAAACAAATATTTTTGTAAAAAATACAAATGACAAAAAGAAGGAAAAGAATCACCTATAATCCTACTTTTAACATTTTGTTCTATATACTTCCAGTCCCATTTTAAGCATACACATTTTTGTTATTATTATACAAAAATGGATGATGGTATATTGTAACCTGCTTTTATTACCTAATATATTGGAAATATATTTCCATGCCCTATCTAATATCGGTATATATTTCACTACATAATTGAACCATCTTTTATTTAACCTAATTCCTATTATTGGGCTTTTTTTAAAAAAACAAAACAAAAAACACCTAGATTAAAAACAACCTATTATTGGGTTGGTTGTTCTATTTTTGTGGTATCACAAACAATACTGTGATAAACATCCTGATAGCTGATCTTTATAACATCCAGAACTTTTAGGACAAATTTCTAGAAGTGGGAAATCACAGTCCAAGAGTATACATGCACAAGATAAATATAAATATAAATATAAATATAAATATAAATATAAATATAAATATAAATATAAATATTTATTTAATATATTTTATTGATTTTCTACAGAGAGGAAGAGAGAGGGATAGAGAGTTAGAAACATCGATGAGAGAGAATTATCGATCAGCTGCCTCTTGTACAACCCCTACTGGGAATGTGCCCGCAACCACGGTATATGCCCTTGACCGGAATCGAACCCGGGACCTTTCAGTCCACAGGCCGACACTCTATCCACTGAACCAAACCGGTTTCGGCACAAGATGAATATTTTTATAAGCTATCATAAAATTGTCTCTCAGAAAATTGGAATAAGGTCCTCCCAAGTTGTTGTTTTTAAAATAAATAAATAACAGAATTGTTGCAAAAATTGGAAAAAAGTCAGGATGATTATTTTCATATTCAAGGTGATATGACTTATTTCTTATAGGGTCACAAGATGCTGCTCATGATCTGGATACACTGAAAAAGCACAAGGTAAAAAAAAGTTTCCTGGCACCATGTATAAAAAGAGGAAAATATGTTTACTGAGGATAATAATACAAAGCCAAGGTGTGAAGAGCTATTGGAGAACAAAGTGTTATGGGACCAGAAGGAATAGATTACTGAACTTGCAGTCCCCTTGCCCTGATCTAAGTATGGCCTACTGTGTCATAAGGTCTCAGTTGAAAAGTAATACCTTCAGAAAGCCCTACCCTGACCCATGTTGCTGCCTCCCAACTCGCCGCATTGCCTCATTGAACTCTTTCAGAGAATTTATTCTCATCTCAAAATCTTATTTTAAGAGCAAGGATCTTACTCCTTGCTCATTTCTATATCTCCTGAACATAGAAAGGGGCCTAGCACTCACTTATTTCATGGGTGAGAGGCAGGGTTTCTTTCAAATCACTTTGTTCCAGCTTCCATTAAAAATTGTTGCTCTTGTCTGGCCAGTGTTGCTCAGTAGTTGAGCATCAACCCATGAACAAGGAAGTCATGGTTTGATTCTTGGTCAGGGCACGTACCTGGGTTTCAGGTTCAGTTTCCCAGTAGGGAGCTTGCAGGAGGCAGCTAATCAATGATTCTCATCATTGATATTTCTTTTTTAAAATATTTTATTAGTTTTTTACAGAGAGGAAGAGAGAGGGATAGAGAGTTAGAAACATCGATGAGAAACATCGATCAGCTGCCTCCTGCACACTCCCTACTGGGGATGTGCCCACAACCAAGGTACTTGCCCTTGACCAGAATCGAACCTGGAACCTTTCAGTCTCAATGCCGATGCTCTGTCCACTGAGCCAAACTGGTTAGGGCTTATCATTGATATTTCTCTCTCTCTCTTCCTCTCCCTTCCTCTCTAACATCAATAAAAATATATTTTTTAAACTAAGACATATGCTAAGAAATAATACAATGTTTCTTGACATGTTATGACAAGAAACAGTGACTTGTTTTTCTTGTCTATGTAGCCTTTGGATTCTCTTAAAGGACTTTCCATGGCTCCTTCCATATGCTTGGTGAGCTCTAGGAAAGGGCTTGAATGCATACGTGGAGTAGGAGGTTGCTTATGTGCATCATTTGAAAGAAAATATTTCATAGCCATCCCATGTTTCACCCACACTAACTCACCAGAGCCTTTGGGTTTGATAGTTTCAAAAGCTCACCAGGTGATTCTAATATGCATCCACACTGGAGAACCGTGTGCTTACAAAGAGGAAATAATTATCAAAAGGGAAGTTTGTGCTGCTGACACACTTCCCTTAAGCTTTTTATATGGACATCCATTAACTTATTAAATATTTTAAGTACTTTCTGTGCCAAGGTCACTGCTCATTCACAATGCTTACTTATAATAGTGAATAAGTGCCCTTGCCAGTTTGGCTCAGTGGATAGAGAGTTGGCCTGTGGACTGAAGAGTGCTGAGTTTGATTCTGGTCAAGGGCACATGCCTGTGTTACGGGCTCAATCCGAAGGGGGATGGGGGAGCTTGCAAGAGTCAGCCTATCAATGATTCTCTCTTATCATTGATGTTTTTTTTTCTCTCTCCCTTCCTCTCTGAAATCAATAAGAATATATTTAGGGATGGGGTGGTGGGGGAGAGGTCAAGGGGGGAAATAGGAGACTCATGCAATACTTTAAATATAAAGAATTTAAATTTAAAATAATAATAATAGTGAGTAAGTTAAACTCCTGGTGGAGTTTCTAATACAATGAAGGAGACAAACAATCACTAAGGAGTAAGGGTATCATAGGAAAAGTAGAGAGTGCTATGGAAATACATAGAAATAGCGCCTGGGTGAGGGAGGAAGCATCAAATCAGGCTTTCTTGAGGAGATATTATTTACGTACACATCATGCTTAAATTGTGTATTCTTGTTGCAGATCTCAACATCCCAGCCTCTTTGTAATTAACCTACTTCATGAGAATTTTTTTTAAATCATCTTTTTTTTTTTTTTTATCTTTAAGGTGACTCATATTTTTTTTTTTTTTTTTTTTTTTTTTTAGGTGACTCATATTCTCAATGTTGCATATGGAGTTGAAAATGTTTTCCTCAGTGACTTTATATATAAGAGCATTTCTATACTGGATCTGCCTGAAACCAATATCCTGTCTTATTTTCCAGAATGTTTTGAATTTATTGAACAAACAAAAATGAAGGTAAGTTTTGTTTTGATCCAAAGTTCTTCAAAAGCAGAATTTTTAAAATATGGGTCCATTACTTAGCTTTTTATTCTTTTTGTAGTAAATAGGTAAAGAACCATTATGAAATCTCTCCAATATTTCATGCATTCCTACAACTATTTAGTTCTCTAATTGCTCTTTTCTCAGTGATATATTAATTTTTAAAATTAATTTCTCCTCTTCCTATGCCTGTGTACATATGTACTTAGATTTCCTCTAACAGTTTATCACTCACCTTCCAACTGATCAGTTTGTAAGCAAATCAGGTGGACTGCAGGATAAAGATAGCTCTAGTTCTGTTAATATATTTATGAAAATTAATAAGCATTTATTTTTGTGGCCACAGTAGGGATTGTGAATCTGTGCATTTTTACAATAGAATTTTAGGGTGCTCTGAGGACTGAATGGGTATTGCTTTTCTGAGATTGTATGAAAATGCTGATAAGAAGCTGTTCATTGGGTCTCAGACTATAGTAGAAGACCAGCTGATTGTATAATATTCGATCTTAGTCCTGGATCCAAGTCAACATGCTGACAGGCTGGGCTTCTGCTTTGGTCATTACCCATAATTAAACTGAAATGACATGATTTATAATCAGCATGTAATTCTTACAAACTTTATGTGAGATGAGTAGATGGGAATGTAGAAGCGCTTACAGAAAAAAAGTTAACTCTCCAGGAACACCTGATTATTAATGACAGTTAACATTAGACCCAGTTTAATTGAATTTTGTCTAATGATCTCCTTTCTGCTTTTCTCCATTCCTTCCTCCCTCTTCTCCCTTCCTTCCCCCCACTCATATCAATAAAAACATATTTTTAAAAAAGTTCATTTGAAAGTTTTCATCAGATATTATTCTATGATTTTAAAATATCTTCAATCTCATCAAAATGAACTACTGTACAAAGTGACAAAAGTTTCATATGTGTATAATGACTATTTGTGTTTTGCTTTTCTTGTACAAAAAGTTAATATCCGGAAATGACTAAAATATATATATATATACTAGAGGTCCGGTGTACGAAATTCATGCACTGGGGGCTGGGGAGTTCCTCAGCCTGGCCTGTGCCCTCTCGCAGTCCAGAAGCCCTTGGGTATCGGGCCTACGCCATCAGTCGGACATCTTTAGCGCTGCCACGGAGGTGGGAGAGGCTCCTGCCACTGCTTCTGCACTCACCAGCCTGTGAGCCCAGCTTCTGGCTGAGCAGTGCTCCTCCTATGGGAGCGCACTGACCACCAGGGGGCAGCTCCTGCATTGAGCATCTGCCCCCTGGTGTCAGTGTGCATCATAGCGACCAGTCCTGCAGTTTGGTAGATTTGCATATTAGCCTTTTATTATATAGAATAAGAAAAACAATTTAAATTGTCTTTTAGATATGAGGATTTTCAAAATACAATATAACTAATTTTGTTGTGGATCACTTGGATTTCTTGAAATGACATGCACTTGCAAATTTGTTACAACAGATCTAGGAAAGGAATTTTGTAACAGATTTATGAAACTGAGAAAACTGCCTTGCAAAAGTAAAATAAGTCAATGAGCTATAAACATAGTATTGCTAATGTATGCTTTGGGTAGAAAGGTTTTAGTTCTAAGTTTTGTTTTTTATCCCCCTTCCTCTGTTTGAATCTTTTACCAAAAAAAGAATCAGGAAATTAAGTAACTAAAATGTTTAGTTCTGTAGTGTGTCCCACAGTTCACTACATTCCATTCAGAACATTAACTTTTTAAAAGCCTGAAACAAGCCAACCTGTATCAGTGGCGTTCCATCAGATCTATCACATTCATTATTAATGCAATATTACCCCCATCAGCATTGGTCTTAACACTGTGTCTCTTTTCACTTGCAAAGTATCATTTTCAGGTTACCTGAAACTTTATTCGTTTATTGACCTCATGCTGGTGTCTAGTTACCTTTTTTACTTCACATTGTCATGAGCTATTTGTGTCATTTTACTACATCATAAATTTAGCTTATTTAAAAAAAAAGTTTCCATCACCATTTATCCCCCCCTATATCCTCCTACACCTCAATCCCGCCCCAATCACTAGACTTCCCTCCAGAATTTATCTAAAGATAGAAAATTGTTTTCCTTGCTGATCATTTTACACAGAGATTTCCAAATTAATGTCACTATCTTTATTGGAATACTATGTGTACATGGAATATCTCGGGCTTCCTGTTTAGTTATGATTATGTTTTCTTCATTAGGCTTTTTTGTGTACTTTACTGGATTATTTCAGTTTAACAAAGGATGCTGTTTCAGAATTCCAAAGACCTCATCAAAGCACTTCAATCCTAGCATTTGGGAAGAGGAGGTGTTGGTCGACCGATTGATTAGTTTTTCCATTCTTTCCTTACAATGCATTGTATTTTGATAATTGAATAAATTGATAGGATGAATATCTATATATATAAAAGGCTAAGTGACTGGCTCACTGGCCAACTGGCCAATAGGTATGATGTGCACTGACCACCAGGGGGCAGACGCTCAACACAGGAGCTGCCGAGTGACAGCAATTTTGCGAAGTGCCCTCTTGAGCTCTGGGACCCCTTGGGGAATGTCCGACTGTGGGTTTCAGCCCCATCCCCACAGGACAGGCTGAGGGACCCCACCTGCCAGAGGGACCTCACTTCCTTCACAGATGCCCTTCACACCCTAGCACCGCCATAGGTGCAGCTGGTGGGGGAGGGACCACTCAAGGTTGGCTCCAGGGTATGTCCAGCCTGTCTCACCCAGTCCTGCCCCGCTGGCCACCTTCTAATTAATTTCCTTTCAGTGAGCACTGGGCCTCTAGGTTTTTTAAAATAATTTTTAATAGTATAAGAATGTAGTATTGATTTAATAACCTTCCTTAAGTTAATAATGAAGAGTTTTGTTTGATTTTTATTGCAGGATGGAGTGGTTCTAGTCCATTGCAATGCAGGGGTTTCCAGGGCAGCTGCAATTGTAATAGGCTTCCTGATGAATTCTGAAGAAATCTCATTTACCACTGCTTTTTCTCTGGTGAAAAATGCAAGGCCTTCCATATGTCCAAATGCTGGCTTCATGGAACAGCTTCGTACATATCAAGAGGGCAAAGAAAGCAATCAGTCTGACAAAATGCAGGAATTAGAAGGAGACAACAATTCATGAGTTACATCCTAGCAGGTGACGGACAACTAGTTTCTCAGTTGACCTCTATAACCACCTTTCTCCTTTTTTTAGAGAATAGACTAATAAAAACTTGTTTTGTTTTGTTTTTTGTTTGTTTGTTTGTCTTTTTGTGAAAATGAAGGTCAATGGATTGTCCTGAAATAGCCTATAAATAATTTTATTAAATTATATCATGTTTTCTTTGATATTACAATGTGTGATTAAATGCTTCTTTGATTTGCTAAGGAAGAATAACAATGTATTACCAATAATTGATTTCTGTAGAAGGAAAAATGCTTAAATTTAAAAATCTATGTTAGAGCATGGGAAGGTTAAATCAGTGATTAAGACTTTTCTATTCCAGCAACTGTATCTAGGATGGAAAAAACTTGAAATGCTACTTGACTTACCATTTCAGAAGGAGATAAATTTCTTCATAAATAATTTAAGATTAAAAACCAATACTGTGCCCTAGCTGGTTTGACTTGGTGGATAGAGCATCGGCCTGCTGAAGGGTTCTGGGTTTGATTCCAGTTAAGGACTCATGAGCGGGTTGCTGGCTTGATCCCCAGTAGGGGGCGTGCAGGAAGCAGCCAACCAAGGAGTCTCTCTCACCACTGATGTTTCTAACTCCCTCCTCTGAAATCAATAAAAAAAAATGTGAAAATAAAAATATCACCAATACCGTAAACCTTCCAAAAGAGGTAAACAAAATGTGAAGGTTTATACAATATTTACATAGTGGTTACAGTATTCACAAAATGTTTATGTCCTTTTGTACCCACTTTTTATTTTTATTTTTAAAATTTAATTATATACCCTGCATTTATTTATAAGTTTTTGTGTGGATTTTTTTCTCTTGCATTATTGTGAGCTTATGGTTCTTAAATTAGATGCATTGTGTGTTTTTCATCTTTGGGTCCCTAGCATTCTGGTTTTTTTTAGTCCCAGGCATAATTTTTTTATCTTCTTGGGTCTGTGGAAAAACATTTTCTACTGAAAATTTGTTTTTTAGTTGTCATTTGTTCAATGATCTGTTTTCTAGTTCAATATCTTACTAGATAACATATTTTAAGGAAACAAGAGTTTGCTTTTATAAGAAAATTTAAATATATTGTTAGAAAGCCTAAAATTATTTACAATTGTACTGTGGCCAGAGGCTTTGAATGGTTCATTTTAAAAAAATAAAGATCCATATTGTCAAGGCTGACCTCCACATTGCAAATTTGCTTAGAGCCCTAACCAGTTTGGCTCAGTGGATAGAGCATCAGCCTGTGGACTCAAGAGTCCCAGGTTCGATTCTGGTCAAGGGCATATACTGTGTTTGTGGACACATCCCCAGTAGGGGGTGTGCATGAGGCAGCTGATTGATGTTTCTCTCTCATCGATGTTTCTAACTCTCTGTCCTCCCTTCCTCTTTGTAAAAAATCAATAAAATATATTTTAAAAATAAATAAGTAAATTTGCTTAGATATATTCTTTGACTTATTCAAAATAAAATGTACTTAAAATTAATATAATTATGAAATGATTTATTTAATAGCTTTCAAGCAACCTTTCATGACTCAGAATATATCATAGCCATTAAGATTTTATTAAGAAAGTCGGCTCTTCTTAAAAAACATTCTAGAGAGCTAATATATTCCCATGTGTAAGTTGGAAAGTGCTCATTGAGCACAGCTGTGCATTTGAGAAAGCAGGCCTTCCTGTGCTGCCAGAAGCAAGCAGACATGATAAATGCAAATTATGTTTCCAGATTGCTTACAGCTTGATAAGATGCTATCACATGCAAAACTATGAACTTTGCTTCTGTTGAGAAGCAGTATAAATGTAATCAACCTGCAGTGAGTTGTCAACCAAGCCAACCAAGGCAGACAGAATCCTCTTAAATGAGACTGGTGGTGTTTCTATAGTCAGTATTGCTGAGGGTTTGCAGGGTGAACCTTTTCCATTCACATGAAAGCATATATTTAAGCACATTTTCTTTTGCTAGGTGCTGTTTAGTTTTCAGCCATTAAATGTAACATGAAGCTTGAATAGAATTTGTTCATAATGGGTAGTGTATTATTTATGCCTGTATTTTGTGTGCTTAGCTGTTGCCTGTAGTGATCTGGTTATGGTGCAAGCTCACATTTTCTGTGTCATCTACAGAAGTGCTTTGAGCATCTGTTTTATTTTATCTTACACAAGTGGCCCGGTGCACGAAAATTCATGCACGGGGGGAGGGGTGAGCGGAGGGGTCCTTCAGCCCGGCCTTTCTCCTCTCACAGTCCAGGAGTCCTCAAGGTCGTCTAGAAGATGTCCACCCTAATTAGCATATTACCCTTTCATTAGTATAGATACCACAGAATGGGTGATTTATAAACAACAGAAATTTATTTCTCAGAGTTTGGAGGCTGGGAAGTCCAAGATCAGATTTGGTGTCTAGCGAGAGCCTGTTTCCTGGTTCACATATGGTAGTCTTATTGCTGTGTCCTCACATGGCCGAGGAGGTGCCCTGCCCAGGGGGGATCGAACCCACGACCTTTTTGGTGCATGAGACAATACTCCAAGCAACTGAACCTTTTTAACAGATACATAATGTTCTTTTGCTTGGCTAGATAAAAATTTATATAGAAATTCTTCATTGGTGAACCTTTCTTACGACCTTAATTCTAAAAAGGGAATTGCTGGGTGTGGTGGGAAAGATATTCCCCCAAAGATATTCCCACACTAACTTCTGGATCCTTTATGAATGTTTTCTTACACAGCAAAGGCTCGTTTACAGATGTGATTATTAACTTAATCACCACCACTAGTCATTGGAAAGGTAAGATTATCCTGGATTGTCTGAGTAGGCTTTAAATGTAACTACTAATAATGTCGTTATAAGAGGGAGGCAGAGGAAGATTTTACTACAGAAGAAGGCCATGTGATGACAGAAATAGAAGCAGTGTTAGAGACATAGATGTTACTCAGCTGGCTTTGAAGGGAGAAGACAGAGCCTCTAAGAGCCGGGAAATATGGTTAGCCTCCAGAAATTAAAAAAGGCAAGAAAACATTCTCTTCTGGAAGAAACCAGTTTTGCTGACACCTTGAAATTAGCCCCATAAAAGTAATTTCAGATTTCTGGCACCCAGAATTGTAAAAGATAAATTTGTGTTGGTTTAAGCTGCCAACTTTGAGGTAATTCAGTATGACCTCATCTGAACTTGATTACCTCTGCCAAGACCTATTTCCAAATAAGGTCACACATTCACAGGTACTGAAGGTTAGGACTTGAACATATCTTTTTGGGGACACAGTTCAACCCATACACTTGTAAAAGAGAGGAGAGAGGAGAGAGGAAGGGGGGAGAGGAGAGAGGAGAGAGGAGAGAGGAGAGAGAGAGAGAGAGAGAGAGAGAGAGAGAGAGAGAGAGAGAGAGAGAGAGAGAGAGAGAGAGAGAGAATGAATTCATTTAAGTAGTTTTAAATTTTGATCTTTGGGAACTTTTCATTTTTTTCCGGGATTGTGATTGCCTCACTCAAATTACAAAATTCTTGCTGGATTTGGGATTTCAGGAAACCCCAGAGGAAATAGGGAGGGAGGATGGGTGGGTTATTTTGAGGATCATGAGTTTGGTATGAACCAGAGAACATCCACAACATATACATGTAGCACATCACTTTTATAAAGTTAGTGAGCAAAACTAAGCAATTTATTTTTGCGCACACATATATAAAATGTGTGTGTGTGTGTGGTATTTTAATACACTCTGAAGAAAAGCAGAAAGTTGGGGCCGGGAGGGTAGGAGGACAGTCGGGATCCTAGGGGGAGGATTCCGCGGTATGATGGGTGGCACAGTGTTTACTGTTAGCTTCCATTATTTACTATCTTTTGTATATAAGAAAACAGCAGGCATCAATTATGCTCTATTGTAAAACTGTGTCTATATAACACACTTTTTGAAATGGCATAGCGACGACAGCAAATATGCGCTGAGAATGAGCTTCCAGCACTAAGGCCAGAGGAACGACAATGGGAAGGACACCCACAGCTTCTCCAAAACCCCTTTTCCAGGGGTTCCTTGGAAAAGCTGACAGGTGGCAGAGCATGGGGGTAAACTCACGTTAGTTAAGAAACCGTGACTATAAGCCAAACCAATGGACGTGAACACCAGGGGGGTGAGGGCATGAGGGAGGGTGTGGGTGGGTTGGGGGGGGATTGATGGAGGGATGAGGACACATATGTAATACCTTAATCAATAAATACATTTTTTTAAAAAAAAGAAACCGTGAATAAAAGGACTTCTTCGAAATTCAATCACCAAAACATCAGGAGACTCAGGGCGCGAGCCAAAGCATCCCAAGCATCGCAGTTCCCACGCGGGTTCTCACCTCCCCGGTGAAATCTCGCGAGAGGCCGCGTCTGCTCAGAGGCCTTTGCCCGCTTCCAAAAGGACGGCCCCTGCGCCCCGAGCTGACGGGCGGCGCATGTCCGGAAGTTACGTCACTCGGCGAGGTAGCGCGCTCCTACCCGCGGGAGCGTTTCCGCCATTTTTGAAAATCGGGAGTTCCCGGAGCTCAGGGTAGCCGCCGCCGCGATGGCAGCCTTTGCCCTGGAACCCCAGGCCACCACGTTGGGTAAGTGAAGAGCGGCCCTTCCTCGCCGGCCCCGCGACCCGCGCCGCCGGCCGGGACGCGGGCGGAACCGAAAGGCTGGAGTCACCGGGCTCTCGCCTGTGCCGGTGTATGTCTCGAAGGGGGGAGCCCTCGGACCACCCGCCTTGTGCCCCCTTCACGGCAGCCCGCCAGGCGTGCAGGTACCGGAGCCCCCGCCCCCCGCGTCCCGGATGGGATGCGGGGATTGTCAGCGGGAAGGGACCTGCCCGCCTGCACGTGGACGGGGTGGGCGGTGCCCCGGAGGCTGGTTGCCAAGCACCGCGCTCCGGTCGCCTGGGCTTGTTCCTGCTCCATTTCATCCCGCTCCGGGCCGCCGGCTGGAGGAATCTGTTTTATTCAAGGAAGTTTGAGTCGTGCAACGTTAATAAACCAGGGGATGGCATCCTTCGAGGTGTTGACCTTAATAATAAAGGAAGCCCGGAGTGCGCGCCTTACTCCCAGCCTTCATCTTGGGAAAGGGGCCAAGTGTGGTTAGGTCTTTTCCTCAAGTCAATCCAGTAATGAATTTTTAAAAAATGCATTCCCATTGCTGAACTATGTCATTAAAAAACCCCAAACAAACAAACAAAAACCAGGATGTCGACTTCCTTTTTGTCTGCTGAGTTCTGGGACTTGGGAGACTTGTGGACATTTTAAAAATAAACCGTTTACTATAGAGATCTTTTCGAAAATTAGGTTACAAACTTTCTGAGTTTGGGAAGAGAGCAAGCGTGTTGTGTTGTCTGTAGAGTGAGTTTTTGTGGGAGTGTTTTGTTTGCTTTTTTGTTTTAGATTGAAATGGTATGTAATGCTTTGCGTGTCATTACAAAATAAATTTGTTTTTTTTAGAATAGAGTAACGTGAACTGTGTTAGTATTAGTCATAAACTAAATGCATAATGTCAGTGCAAATACGCACTGTGCTACATTTAAATTTATGTACAGCCGAAACCGGTTTGGCTCAGTGGATAGCATCAGCCTGCGGTCTGAAAGGTCCCAGGTTCGATTCTGGTCAAGGGCATGTTACCTTGGTTGCCGGCACATCCCCAGTGTGGGGGGTGCAAGAGGCAGCTGATTGATGATTCTCATCGATGCTTCTAACTCTCTATCCTCTCCCTTCCTCTCTGTAAAAAATCAATAAAATATATTTTTAAAAATTATGTACAGATATTGGCCTAGGTATTTGTGTTTTGCGTTGTTAGAGATCAGAAAACTGCTCATTTCTAGTTCTATAGTTTTCTGCTTAAAAAAAAAATTAGACATATTTGATAATAAAGGTTCAAGTCGATATACTGCAGATATTCTAGGTGAGGAATAAACGTTTTCCCAGAACCTAATGTATATTAAATGTAAGCGTTGTGCCCTAGCTGGTTTGCCTCAGTGGGTAGGGCGTCAGCCTGCGGACTGAAGGGTCCCGGGTTCAAGTCTGGTCAAAGGCACATGCCCTGTTTGTGGGCTCCATCCCCAATGTGGGGCGTGCTGCTGGAGGCAGCCAATCAATGATTATCTCTCATCATTGATGTTTCTATCTATCAATTACTCTCTGAAATCAATAAAAATATTATTTTAAAAATAAGCGTTATTCAACCAGCAGTGCTACTGAATAAGATGACAGTATTTATTTTAGCAATACAGACTGTGAAATGGAAGCTAGCTCTCTTTAAGTGAAATCTAGCCTGCAGGGTGGTTAGTGACAGTCTGATAGAGTTCTTTTTGCCCTTACTACTGTATCACCGTATATATCCAAATAATATCAGAACTTTTTTTGACTTGTTACAATTGCTATATATTTTTTCTTCTGTTAAATATATATTTTTTCTTTTGTTAAAGAAGGTAGATGGCGCTACCTAAAACTTTTATTACTGAATATCTGTTCAGAAAATGCTTTTGGTTTGACTTTAGTGTTTTTTCTTTGGAAATATGTAATTATATCAGAATAACATAGTAACTAGCACTTGAAAATAATTACAATGTAATTAATAGTTCTTTCTTCAGTATTTGCTTTTCTTTTCCCTGAATTACTTTGTCTTTTTCCTCTTTTATGCACTTGCATTGCTAATATCTAGGTTTATTATAACAAGATATGAGGAAGCATAAACGTGACAGCATTTGGATAGCAAGAAACACATTTTTGAGGCTGTTTAGAAGTTAAGTAATAGTTAATAAAGATCATATAAATAACATACAAAACGTTTACTATTTCTAATTGCTATGAATCACATTTAGGCTTTAGTTGAAAATTAAATTTTCATTAGCAGAAATTGCATATTCTACATTTATACATTTGTCATTCAGTTTTGGCTATTATAAAATACTGTTATAATAATAACTAATATTTGCTGAACATTTGCTATATATTCAGTACTGGGTCAAGTGCTTTACTTGCTATAATTCTAATCAAAATCTGTGAGTGGGAGATGCGATTATGCCCATTTTGCTGAGACACTTGAGCGCAGATCTCTGACTCCAGAGCCTGTGTTTTTCTTACTGTGCTATTTTGCTGTAAAATGAGAGTAAGTGAATAATAAAACCTAACCTGTAAATTGTGAAAACTAATTTCAAAATGATGATTGTGAAGTATCTGTTCCCTTTTTAAATTGGATTTATATCAGGAATACTTATTGATTATTCATAATTTTAAAATACATTATTTTTAAAAATAAAAACATTTATTTCCAAATATCTTAAATATGTTTCTTAATTGGGATGCTAATCATTACTATTATTTCATATGTGCTCTAATGTATACATAATTATACTTTTATTACAAAAAATATTTACAGTTTTTGTGTGTAAGGAAGAAAAAATGGGACATACAGTAAGCTAAATGTTGTATTTGATTTGTGTAAGTAACTTGTGTATCTTGTCCTTATTTTGTTTGTTGCATAGTAGCCGACCCAGAAATGGAAAGTTTTCCTGTATGTATTAGGGATTTTTAAAAATATATATTTGGAATGTGCCTTCAATAAACATTTTGCTTTAAAAAAACTAAACTCTTAAATTTAAAAATAAGCGTTGACTCTTAAACCTGTGAAATGTTAATGAAAACAGTTGTCAAAGATTAATATTGTTAATACAAAATATTCAGTTTTCTCTAATAATAATTTTATTGGTTTTTAAAACATTCAACTATGGTTTTTATAGTAATTAACAATATTGATTAAATTTTCAAACTTATGCTAGATCCTTGTATCTTTTTGTTAGCTATTTTAATATTAAAGTCCTTATTTCTGATTCATTTAGGATCTGAACCAATGATGCTGGGTTCGCCTACATCTCCAAAACCAGGGGTTAATGCCCAGTTCTTACCTGGGTTTTTAATGGGGGATTTGCCAGCGCCAGTGACTCCACAGCCTCGATCAATTAGTGGCCCTGCAGTAGGAGTAATGGAAATGAGATCACCTTTAATTGCAGGTAGGTAAATTGCCTAAATTAGTTTTATAGTAACGTCAGTATATATACTAGAATTTTGATGCAACATTCACTTTTGTCAACCCATTTATTAATTTAAAGCATGAAGTAATAGCTCTACTTTTTAATACAGGGTTCTAAGAATAGAGGTGTAAGCAGTATAAACTACAGCAGCCCCTACCCTTATCCTCAGGGGTTAAGTTCCAAGACCCCAGGGGATGCCTGAAACCACAGATAGTATCAAACCCCATATATACTGTGTTTTTTTCCTATGCAAACATACCTATGATAAAGTTTATAAATTAAGTAAAGAGATTAACAATAACACAATAAAATAGAATAAGTCTAATACGCTGCATGTGGTTTTCTCTCTCAAAATACCTTATTAACTGTACAGCTGGGATACATTGGACAAAGGGATGTTTCAGGTTGGATAATGTGAGATTTTATCATGTTACTCAGGGTGCAATTTAAAACTTACAAATTGCTTATTTTTAGAATTTTTCATTTAATATTTCCAGACTGCAGGTAATTAAAAGTGCAGGTATCAAAATCTCAGTAAAGGAGGGACCACTGTATTATAATTCTAAGAACCACCCATTAAAAAACATTTTTATCCAATCTAAGATGCCATTAATTGTAAAATTCACCATTATTTTACATACCACTAAAAAAAAAAAAATATAAGATGCCAAGGCAAATTTTTTTTATCAATCCCTTTTTTAGGTTGTGGGTAGGAGGGGATATGGTCATTTAACTTCAGCTGAATTCAACTTAATTAATCTTAAATATAATAGCAAACATTCAGTCAAACCAAGTATAACTTGAAAATTGGTAAATATGAATTCTACTTCTAGTCAGAATTATTTAAAGTTCTTATTTATAGTATGTTTAATGAAAATATTTATTTCACAAACTGGGAAAGCTTTTTACACAGGCTATTTAAATCGTCAGCATAAAACGATATATATATATATATATATATATATATATATATATATATATTTAATATACCGTGTTTCCCAAAAAATAAGACATCCTCCGAAAATAAGACCTACTTACAGGTTTCCTTCTGAGTGAAATATAAGGCATCCCCCCGAAAATAAGGCCCCCCTAGGCTAAACATGAGAGATTTGGTCCACTGATTCTGAAAGAAATGGAGTCACAAGAAATTCACCAGGAAATTCAGGAATTGGATTGTTATGATGATGTTCCAGAAAATGATGACATGATTGTCATTGAATAAATGAGTAAATTCTTAATACTGTAGGATTCACAGTTTGCCTGGTTTATGTTGACAACTACCGTACTACCGTACCCTATACAGGTAATAAATTTTCTTTATTTTCATTTAACAATAAATGTGTACCGTATTCTTCTTCATGGAAAAATAAGGCATCCCCTGAAAATAAGACCTAGCACATCTTTGGGAGCAAAAATTAATATAAGACACTGTTTTATTTTCGGGGAAACAGAGTATTTCATTGATTTTTTTTTTTTTTTTTACAGAGAGGAAGAGAGAGGGAAAGAGAGTTAGAAACATCGATGAGCTGCCTCCTGCACACCCTCCTCTGGGGTCGTGCCCACAACCAATGTACATGCCCTGGACTGGAACCAAACCTGGGACCTTCCAGTCCGCAGGTCGACGCTCTATCCACTGAGCCAAACCGGTTTCGGCAGCATAAAATGATATTGACTAAGTACTAGTTATATCTTTTACAGGATGCCTTTAACAAATAAATATTTTAAAAGATAACTGACATTTAATGATTGAATTCCAAATGTGAGATAATATTCTTTTAGTAAATGTTTAAAGATAAACTCTTCTTACTTTAATTGTCTTTAAAGTATTATTTTGTTTAAAGTGGTTATATTATTTATATATATATATATAAAAGAGCAGAGGGAATTATAAATTATATTTGAAGTGATTAACTTAAAAACATTCTGGACAGATTTTGGGGTTGTTTTTTTTGGTATATATTTTTCAAATGTATTAATATTGTAGCTACCATATAGTGAGTACTTATGAGCTAGGAAGTATGCTAAGTACTTATTTATTTTTTTCTTTTAGCAAACTTGAGGGATAGGTAGTATCTCAGTTTTTCAAGAGGAAACAGGCTAAATGCAATAAAGAAATTGCTGAAGCTCACGTTACTAAGTGACAGCAGGAGGTTGAAGTCCAGGTCAGTCCTGTTCTGAAGCCTGGAGTTTAAACAGCTTATGCTATACTGCCCAGGCTCAGGCATCAGTCTCACAGAGAAAATGGGCTGCTTCACTGTTTGCCATTGCTGATTCTCTGACTTATAAAGACATTTTTATTCTCTCAAAATCGGTTCTTTTTAAAATACCTTTATTGTGTACTTCAGTCATTTTTTACTATGAGAAACATGAATGGGATCTGTTTAATTCTGACAAATTCCACATTATGGGATAATATTTAATCAAGTCTATACAGAATGGAGTTAATACCTACTTTCAAATAAAAAATAGGATCAAGTTTTGTGTTGAAATGCTAAATAAGAATTTTCTAGGGAAAGCAAAAGCTACATGTATTTACTAAAAACTAAAATTTCTATTTACTTATTCTGGAACCTTTTATTCAAAGTGCAGTCTGTGGATCACCAGCATTGCATCAGTAGGAGCTTATTAGAAATTCATAATCTCAGGCTCCACCCCACAAGTTCTGAAACAGAATCTGAATTTTAACAAGATCTCCTGGTGACTTTCATGTGTATTAAAGTTTGAGAAGCACTAGGAGACAAGAATTTAAGTCAGTACTTTAAAAAAAATTTTTTTAAATCTTATTTCTCAGCAAGCTGCTCCTGAGCAATTTCTGCAAAGCAACTCCCTGTCTCTCAGTTTCCTCAGTTGTTAAATAGCAATCATTATTAAGTCACAAGATTGTGGTCAGGAGATTTAAGTTAAATAGTAATGGCAGGGGTTTGGCTCAGTGGTAGAGCGTTGGTCTGTGGACTGAAAGGTCCCAGGTTCGAATCCGGTCAAGGGCATGTACCTTGGTTGCGGGCACATCCCCAGTAGGGGGTGTGCAAGAGGCAGCTGGTCGATGTTTCTTTCTCATCGACGTTTCTAGCTCTCTATCCCTCTCTCCTCCTCTCTGTAAAAAAATCAATAAAATATATTTTTTTAAAAATAGTAATGGCAGTATGATTATTATTATTATTTTTAATCATATCAGAAAGATGGAAGGCTTCTTTGTTTTTTCACCTGACTATATTTTTTGTACATTGTAGGTGGGTCACCACCGCAACCAGTTGTACCAGCTCATAAAGATAAAAGTGGAGCTCCACCAGTTAGAAGTATATATGATGACATTTCTAGTCCAGGACTTGGGTCAACACCTTTAACCTCAAGAAGACAGGTAATACACATACCCTCACGCATATCCACAATTGATAATTTCATGTTTTTAGGTGGTTCTACCATTAAGCTCAATAATTTGAAATTTTCTGAGTCTGTTGTAGTGTAACTTTGTTGCACAGAATAAGCATTAAGGACATTTATCATAGAATCTACTTAAATTGTGTTTATCATGAAATGCACTTAATAATGTAATAGAACTCCAGATTATTTTTTCGTGTAGGTAGTTCTGTGGTTTTTATAGGTATGCCTTTATTCGCCTATCCATGTCCCAGCGTACTTAATATACATGTAGAAATGTTTATGGTTTAAGTTATTCCAATTTTTTAAAAAGTTTAATATTTATACATAATTCTGTGAAAGAAAAAGTAAAGATTCAGGGTTTTATCCAGATGTAAAGTACTTCGTAATGATTTGAAATCTTTGTTTTAGGAATTATTTTATTAATATAAGACCACTATCCTTTTAGAGCTTTGTTATTTAACTATTTTACTAAAAAACACTGCCTCCTACATATTTATGAGCTAACTAGTGGCCTGGTACATGAAATTTGTGCATGGCGGGGGGGTTCCCTCAGCCCAGCCTGCGGCCTCTCCAATCAGGGACCCTTTGGGGGATATCTGGCCATTGGTTTAGGCCTGATCCAACAGGTCGGACATCCTTCTCACAATCTGGGACTACTAACTCCTAACTACTCACCTGCCTGCCTGCCTAATCTTGTCCCAAACTGCCCTCCCTGGCCGGCTTGATCCCCCCCCAAGGGCCTCTGCCTCGGCCCTCACCACCATGGCTTTGGAAGGAAGTCAGACATCTGGAAGATGGCTGTTCGACCTGGTCTAATTAACATATTACTTTTTATTAGTATAGATAGATTATATAGGATAGGATTGCTTAAATGGTGGGGGAGCCTTTTACATCAGGAGGAGATGCTTATATGACTTATATTATATATAAAAAGTAGTATTCCAGACTTAACAAATCTGGAATATTCTGTTTTGGGATATTTTTCTAAAGATTGGTAAGTAAATATGATGTTCAGTTTGGTTTGAGAACCACTGGCTTAAAGTTTATGTTTTCATTGCTCCACTGACAATACATGAAAAGAAAGGTAGTCTATAGTAATTGCTATGTTTAAAAGGCATGGATCATAATTTGTAGAGAATGTTTTTAACTTGAAAGTTGGTTAGAATATTATAATTAGGTTAAAACCCAAATTAGATTTGCCTCCTGAGACTTTGCTCAGCCTCTCTCTAATTATAAAAGATGTTGTTATTACGAATTGACAGTACATTTTGTATCTCTCCTAACGTACTTTCAACATTTGGTTCTCAATGCTAGGTGATAAAATCTGGTTGCGAGATTTTAGATTTCCTTAGTTCAAGCAGAATCTGTTTTTTTAAAAGTCTGTATAGCACCAGTTTGTCTCAGTGATAGAGCGTTGACCCACAGACTGAACGGTCAAGGGCACGTATCTGTACCTCCATTGCAGGCTCGATCCCCAGCCCTGGTTGGGATGCTTACAGAAGGCAACCACTCGATGTGTCTCTCTCACATAGATGTTTCTGTCTCTCCCTCACCTTTCCACTCTCTCTAAAAATCAATGGAAAAATATCCTCAGGTGAGAATTAAAAAAAAAAATCTGTATATTTACTTCTAGAGACTCTTGTCATTCTTGATTTGGTATTGTTGTTTTATTGAGTTTTTACAGAAAGGAAGAGAGAGGATAGAAAGCTAGAAACATCTATCAGCTGCCTCTTGCATACCCCCTACTGAGGATGTGCCCTCAACCAAGGTGCATGCCCTTGACCGGAACCGAACCTGAGACCTTTCAGTCCGCAGGCTGAGGCTCTATCCACTGAGCCAAACCGGTTTCGGCTGTTGTCTTTGTTTATAGAAGGACTTTTCTCACATTTAAAAGAACTGCTATTGATCACTTTGTAATTGTCTACCAGTAGCAGCAAAGGTATGCTGTCTTGTGTAGACTGATTTGAACCTATAATACTTCATGGTCTGTGCTTGTTTAAAAATAAAATTTTGCGCCAAAACCGGTTTGGCTCAGTGGATAGCGGTCTGTGGGCTGAAAGGTCCCAGATTTGATTCCAGTCAAGGGCATGTACCTGGGCTGCGGGCACATCCCCGGTGGGGGTTGTACAGGAGGCATCTGATCGATGTTTCTCTCTAATGGATGTTTCTCGATCTCTCTCTCCCTTCCTCTCTGTAATAAACCAATAAAACATATTTAAATAAATAAATAAAAATAAAATTTTGCCATCTTTTTGTTTTTCTATGTGAGCTCGGTGATTTGAAGAATTACCATTACCTGTGTTAGTTCAATTATTGTACCTTAGGAACTAAAACCAAATAGCAGTGTTACTTCCTATTAAAAATAGTATCTTTTTCCCACATGTGGCTTTACTTAATTTAAACAAATGGTATGATAATGGTCTAGCATATTTTCAATTAATACTGCTCAACTGAAAGAAAAAGTTGGGGAGTACTGTTTGATAGTGAGCTAGTTACAGGCATCTCCAGGAAGTTAGATGTTCAGTTGTCTATTGAATGAAGCCCTTTAGCGCTAATTGTGTGTATGTTATGGTTAGAACTTTGCATTTTTACCTTAACACTTTCTTCTGTTTTTATGTAGCCAAACTTATCAGTAATGCAGAGTCCTCTTGTTGGAGTTATGTCGACTCCTGGAACAGGTAAGCAGTGCCTTTTAACGCCAAACACCGTTCTCCACTTTTTTGAATGAAGATAATATAAGACCTTGATTGATAATTGCCAAATTTATTTCTATTATATTTCAAACTTGGAGACTTTTTCAAATGTAAGTAATTTCTTTCAGAAAGGAAATACTTTGTATATTGATTCTTCTCTGAATTTAAAGGTAAGATGTGAATTATATTCAAAATATTAACAATTTTAAAATATATTTGATAATGTCTCCTAAGTAAACAAAAACTATAATAAAAAAGGCCATTGGAATTGGGAAGAAAAAGAATATATAAAAAAGTGAATAATAAAAGTTTTTTTTAGAGATATTAATGATATTTATAAATCTGTCATTAACTACTAACAGCCACTGGTTATACCTAGTTTTTTGTTTTTTTGTTTAAGATTAATGGTATTTTTTATCACATCAACATCATCATTAGCACAACTCTTCTTACATACTCATATATTTATAGCCTGTCTATAATGTTCATTCAGCAAATAATTGAGCACGTGATTATGTACCTGAGAAAATGAACAAAATAGAAAATCCTTGCCTTTATAGAGCTTACATTTATTTATAGAATTTACATTTATAAGTAAAATAAGTAAACAGTTTGCTAGAAGGTAATACATTTTATGGAGGACAATTAATCAGTAAAGGGGAATAGGGAGTGAGTTTACAGTTTTTAATAGGATGGTATATTAATTTTCTATTGTTGCCATAAAAATGGCCATAAACTTAAAGGTGGCTTAAATAATACAGATTGATTATTTTACAGTTCTGGAGGTGAGAAGTTTGAAATGGGTCTCAGTGGGCTAAAGTTAAGGCAATCATAGGCTGTGTTAATTTATGGAGGCTCTAGGGGAGAATCTGTTTCCTTGACTTTTCCATCTTCTAAAGGCTGCCCACATTTCTTTGCTTATGGCCCCCTGCCTCCATTTCAAAATTTGCATCTCTCTGATCATTCCTCCTAGTCACGTCTCCCTCTCGCTTTTAAGGACCCCTGTGAATACTTAGGGCCATTCTGGATAATCCAGGTAATCTCCCTATTTTAAGGGCACTGATTAGCAGCCTAATTCCATCTGCAACCTAATACTCCTTTGCATATAATGTATTCCCAGGTTCCAGGGATAAGGATGACACTTGAGGGCAGGGCATTATTCTGCTTTCTATAGATAGGGGTAAATAAACATTTACTTAAGTAAGGGAGGCAGGGAAAAGTGTCACAGACAGGAAATAACCAGCTCAGAGGCCCTGAAGTGGGAGTGTGCCTAGGGTGCTAACAGAAGAGCCAGGAGGCTAGTGTGAAATGAACTGGGTAGGGGAGAGAATAGTAGGAAATGAGGTTAAAGCGGAAATGGAGGCTGATGTTACAGACCTTGAAGGTCATTGTAATGACTGGTTTTTACTTAGAAAAGGCGGGAAACAAATAGAATGAGACTGCTGCTGTGCTGAGAACAGCCTTTGGGGTAAGGGCGAGAGTTGAAGCAAGGAGACCAGATAGAAGGCTACTGCATTAATTCAGGTGAGGGATGATGGTGGCTTAGATATAAAGGAGGCGGCCCTGGCCAGTGTGGCTCAGTTGGTTGGAGTGTTGCCCCATGCACACTCCAAGCAACAGGTCAAGAGGCCATGGTTTGATTCCTGGTCTGGGCACATGCCTAGGTTGTGGGCTTGATCCCCAGTAGGGGATGTGCAGTTGGCAGTTGATTGATGTCTCTCTTCCTCTCTCTAAAATCAATAAAAACACTTTTTTTTAAAAAAAAGAAAAAGAATTTAAAATGAACCAAATCAACAATTATATAACACAAATGTAATAAACACCCAGGTAAAACATTATGTCAGAATGCATGACAAAAGCAGTATCCAAATACAGATTTTGGTTAACCAGTTTGTGAATACTTACTGGCAGTGTCCTTAAAGTCCAGATTTCTATTTCCAGTTTATTCAAAGCTACTTAGGCTTTTTCTGTTATGCTCCTTTACTCACAGCCCGATTCCAAAGCCACTTCCATATACTTAGTTGTTACAACAGTACCCCACTTGTACCAATATATGTATTTTAAATTGCTGCCATGACAAATTACACAAGCCTTTGACTTAAACCAATACACATTTATTATTGTGTTTCTATAGGTCAGATGTCTAGACACAATTTGGTTCTTTCTTTAGAGCTCACGTGTCAATAGGGCTATGCTCCTTTCTGGAAGCTCTGGGCATGAGCTGCCTCCAGACTCATTCAGGGTGTTGGCCCAATGCAGTTTCATGTGGTGGCAGGACTGGGGTCCCTGGTTTTTTGCTGGCTGTCACCTGCAGGTTCTCAGCTTCTCGGTGCTGTGCTCATTCCTTGGCTCGTGACTCCCCTTCCATCTTTAAAGATAGCAGGTGGTAGATAAATCTTTTGTATGCTCGGTATCTCTGATCTTTCTTGTTAGATCTTTGACTTGACTTTTCTGCCAGCTGCTGCTAATTCTTGATTTTCTGTTTTCAATATTGCTATATTTAAGGTGATTGGAGATGTTACATCTTATCTCTCCCACATTATCTCAATACAATTATATCAAACTTTATTCCTTCTGTATTATTTTTATATCCTTATGACTGTCTAAAGCATTGTCAGTGCTGATTCAAGTAGTATAATTTATCCTTTCTGTAAGACTTTTTTTTTTAGTTAATAATTGTCTCTTTCCCCATTTGTCTAATTTTCTATGTGCCATTTGCTCCCCCCCCTTTTTTTTTTAAGCAAATGTTCTTTTGCTGTTATATATCTCTGTCTTTTTTTAAATGTTCATATTGTCAAACACATTTTTAAATTTGATTTAAACTGAGAACATCTCATAGCCTCTTTTGGCTATTTTCTGTTTCAGCATGGTGTACAGCTATCATCCTAAGACTTGCTTTAGCAAATTTCTAGAGTTTAGCTTTTTTCTAGATAACATGCATTCTTCTTAGTTTATTTCTAAAAATAATGTTTTGATGAAGAACATATTTGAGTAGCTTTCTAGGAAAGCTTGCATGGGAAGTGAAATTTAAGACCTCATTTCTGAAATCCTTTCTTTTTCTGTCTATACTACAATAGATTGCTAACTTGGCTAGGAATAGTATTTTACATCAAAGAATTTTGGAGGCATCATTCCATTGTCTTTTAGCTTCTAGTATTCTATAGAAGTTATGTGCAGTGTGGATTCCTGAGTCTTTGTATGTGGCCTGGTTTTCAAAAATGTAAGATCTCTGTAGTTAGTGTTCCCAATTTCACAAATATGCCTTGGTTTATTTTAGAGTGATTTTACCTTGGACTTTTCTATTTGTTCTGCTAGGGAATTAACAGATTCTTTAATAGTTCTGGGAAACTTCCCCTTTTTTTGGAAATTTCCTTGGAAATTTCCTTGTACAGTGTTGATAATTGCTCTCCCTCTGTTTTCTTGAAATTCCTTCTAATTATGAGCACTGTAGATTTTTTTAATTTTCTACTTTTCTCCCTTACTTTATCTTTTTATGTATATTCTACGTTCTCAGAGCTGTTCTCAATCTCAGTTTCCACATCAATGATGAGAGAGAATCATCGATTGGCTGCCTCCTGAACACCCCACACTGGGGATCGAGCCCGCAACCCAGGCATGTGCCCTTAGCCCAAATCGAACCCAGGACCCTTCAATCTGCAGGCCAGTGCTCTATCCATTGAGCCAAACCGGCTAGGGCAGTTAATTAGATTTTTGCTGGAAGATTGTTATTTTATTCTAGAGCCTCCTTTCCAACTGCTACTGCATTACAAAAAATAATGAAACTTAGTTTTTGAGGAAAAGGAATCTAAATGGCTCAGAACTCAACAAGTCCAGTCACTATTTTGTTTTTTTAAATTTTTCTTTGACCTTTTGAGTGTTATATCTTGAAAGTAACTTGATTCTCCAGTCCTCCTTTGTTATGGGTTAATAGTGTGTCACTGTGAGACAATATTAGCTTGTTTAAGAGAACTTTTTATATGATTCTGAGGAAAACATTCTGTATTCATTAATATAAAAATAAAACTTAATTGTAATTCTTTTTGCATCTCAGCTTTGGATTGGAATAGTAATTTTATTATTCATTTCCTAATAGATTTGTTCCCTGTAAATTCTTATGTTAGTCATGCATTTATAAGGCATATAAGAGGTACTTGACACAAGATCAGCATTTACCAAAATATGTGTTTTATTGAGGATAAAATGTGGTCAAGTACGGTACAGGAAATTTTAGGTCAAATGTAGTTACAAATATTTTTTTATTGGATAATCTTTGAAAGCTTTTTATATGTAAATTTTCCATCAGGACAATATAGTATATGGTCTTTTATAAAACTTTTACCACAGTACCTCTTTTTCCCCCTCTGTAAAGTATCTTTTTTATTTCTTAATAATATACTTTAGCAAATCCATTTGACTATAAACACTTTGGAAAGACTTAGAGTGATTTTCAACTCAATTGGGAATTCAGAAAAAATGATAAGGCATCTGGTGTATATGTATAGTAAGAAGGTGTTGAGCAGAGAGCCTTCAGAAAGTTAGTAAACATGGAAATTAAACCATGTGCAAGGTCCTATAGTACAGTGTTCTTTTAAAAATTGAAGACCAAATTGCTTTTAGATGATAGCTATTGATACTTAGCATTAAAATAAAAACTGAAAACATTTTAAAGTTGTTTTCATTTAAAAATAGTCTGTTTCACCCTGGCTGGTTTGGCTCAGTAGATAGAACATTGACCTACAGACTGGAGGGTCCGGTTCAATTTCAGTCAAGGGCATATGTTCAGGTTGCAGGCTCCATCCCCAGTAGGGGACATGCAGAAGGCAGCCAGTCAATGATTCTCATCATTGATATTTCTCTCCCTTCCTCTCTGAAATCAATAATATATATATATATATATATATATATATATATATATATATATATATATACACACACACACACACACACACATATTAAATAAGTAAATAAATAACCTGTTTCATGCAAACATAAATAACCTTTTTTTAAAAAAATATATTTTTATTGATTTTGTACAGAGAGGAAGGGACAGAGATAGAGAGTCAGAAACATCGACGAGAGAGAGTCATCGATCAGCTGCCTCTTGCACACCCCCTACTGGGGATATGCCCGCAACCAAGGTACATGCTCTTCACCGGAATCGAACCCGGGACCTTTCAGTCCCCAAGCTGACACTCTATCCACTGAACCAAACCGGTCCCGGCATAAATAACCTTTTTAAAAATAAAATAATTTTTCTACAAGAAAAGATTTTCATGAGAAGAATGACATTGTTTTATGTTTTTCAAATATTTCTTTTATATATATATATATATATATATATTATTATTTTTTTTTTATTATTTTTTTTTTTTTTACAAAGAGGAAGGGAGAGGGATAGAGAGCTAGAAACATCGATGAGCTGGAAACATCGACCAGTTGCCTCCTACACACCCCCCCACCAGGGATGTGCCTGCAACCAATGTACATGCCCTTGACCGGAATCCAACCTGGGACCTTTCAGTCCACAGACTGACACTCTATCCACTGAACCAAACCGGTTTCAGCTCAAATCTTAACATCTTACTTAAAATACAACTGAATTCTCGTATCTGCTTCTATATTCTATCTGAATTGATTGAACCACATCAAATAATATTTTAGAAAAGTCCAGTGTATTCTCATGAGTAGGTTGGCATGTTGGACATGTAGACATACTCATTAGTTGGTATCTGTCATTGAAGGATAAGAAAAGAATCAGACATTTTAGATGGAAATGACATGAACAAAAGAAAACCGCATTCGCATCTTAGGAGTTAGGGTAGGGACCATTTAGTGGCATAGCGGAAAAATAAGGGTAGAACGTTATAGTGGAGACCTGGGCATTTGGATTTTCTTCTGTGGGTAATGGGTTGTTTACTGAATATTCCTTTTTTTTTTTTAAATATATTTTTATTGATTTCAGAGGGGAAGGAAGAGAGAGAGAGAGAGAGAGAGAGAGAGGGAGAGAAACATCAATGATGAGAGAGAGTCACTGATTGGCTGCCTTCTACACGACCCACTGGGGATCAGGCCCGCACCCGGGCATGTGCCCTGGATCGGAACTGGACCTGGGACCCTTCAGTCCACAGGCTGATGCTCTATCCCCTGAGCCAAACTGGGTAGGGCATTCCTGAATATTCTTAAGGCAGAGATGCCATCAGGAAAGGTTTGGAAGATGAACCCGACAGAAGTCTTTGAAATTGACTGAAGATTCTTCTGGTGTAGGCTTAACCAAGGATTAATAAAACATTTGGAAAATCATAAGTTATTCTTACTTATTAATGACTTCTCAAATTGTATGGTATTATAGTATAAAATCATCATTTCAGAACAGTTGTGTATTTTAAATTATTTAGGCATTTGCCAATTTTTAATAATTTTTTTTTGCCTTTAAAACTAAAAGCTTTGATTTAAAAATAACCAAAATGTTTATATTGGTAACTAACTTACTAAATATATTAATGTAGGGCAAAGTATGTTTAGTCCAGCAAACATTGGTCAACCACGAAAGACAACATTATCTCCTGCGCAGCTGGATCCTTTTTATACCCAAGGAGATTCTCTGACTTCTGAAGATCACCTTGATGACACGTGGGTAACTGTGTTCGGGTAAGTTTTCTGGATCGTTTACCGTTAAAAAAATGATAGCCCCTTGTCAGCATTTTTTACTGAGTTTTCTCAAATATACAAAAAATTAAAAGAATTGCACAGCAGACACTCATATACCCACCACCTAGATTCTGCACTTAACACTTTGCTGTATTTATTTTTGTTGGTGCATTTCAGAGTAAGTTGCATACATCAGTACAGATCACCCTGACACTTCACCATGTTTATTATTATCTAGTGTTTAGATTATTTCTCTTCTGTGTATTTTCTGGACATTGGAGCAGGGTTGCTCCGTTAGACTACGAAGCTCCTTTTTATCTTTCTGGTTAGTGACTGTTTTCTCTGCTTGATAGTGGACTTAACCAGTTTGGAACTGACAAATTTATGTCACAAGTATACATATACTTTCTAGTCACGGAATATTGAATATTAATAGAAATTGTGCCTGGGACATCTAGATGCATTTTGAATAGATTTTTTTAAATTTATATTTATTATTTAAAGTATTACAGATATTTTGTTTTTTTCCCATTGACCCCTCTTCACCTGCACCCTCCCCACCCCCAGGCCTTCGCCACACATTGTATCTGTGGGTTATGCATATCTATATATCTATATCTATCTATCTATCTATCTATCTATCATATATATATCTATATCTATCTATCTATCTATCTATCTATCTATATATATATGAAAGCCTAAGCGACCATTAACGACAGAATGACCGGTCACTGTGATGCACCTGACCACCAGAGGCAGGTGCTCAATGCAGGAGCTGCCCCTAGCCCACAGACCCTGATTGCCAATGGGGCTTGCCGGCCAACCTCCCTGTCCCTCCCCTCGGCCAGCAGGTCCCAACCACCCAATCGGGGCCAGGTCCTGGGCTGGGTCAGGGAACTAGGGGTTGGTGGCAGCAGACACAGGTGGTGAGGGGAGGAGGAGGCGGGAGGCGAGGAACCTGATCAGTCCTGATTGCTGGCCTGGCTTAGGGACCCCACCCATGCACGAATTTCTTGCACCGGACCTATAGTATGCATATAAATTGTTTGGTTAATCTCCACCTACCCACCCACCCACCTCTGCCTTCACTCTGAGATTTGACAGTCTGGTCTATCCTTCTATATCTCTGGGTTTGTTTTTTTATTTATTTTGAAATATATTTTATTGATTTTTTTACGGCAAGGAAGAGAGGGGGATAGAGAGTTAGAAACATCGATGAGAGAAAATCATCGACCAGCTGCCTCCTGCACACCCCCTACGGGGGATGTGCCCGCAACCAATGTAGTACATGGAATCGAACCTGGAACCTTTCAGTCCACAGGCTGCTCTATCCACAGCCAAACCGGTTTCGGCCTTTTTTTCTTTTAAGACGTATACTTTCTTAGCTATTTATTTTTTTTGTTGGTTTTATTTTTAATAAACCTCTATATGAGTTTAGTTGCAGGAATTGAAACATTTCTTCTAATGGGTAAAATATTTTGATCATTTATAGAGAAATACATCAGAGTCAGCATGGTATACCTACCCGTTGCTTTAGGGTGATTCTTTTAATATTGGAATTTTTCTACTCAAAGTGGTCCTAGACTCAGAATTATATCTTATTTCTGAAGTACCTTCCTCGCAACCATTTTTTCCTCCTCCATTTGTTAGCCACCCTGTCTCATTTTTTGTTTTTCTTTAGGGTTAGAAATCATATTCAAGCTTATATAGCATAAAATAAAATTCCAGTCCTGAGTGCAGTGAGTATTTTACTCACATAGATTTTAATGTGTGGTGTTATTTATTTTGGGGGACTCAGATTTTTTCATTTTTTCTTAATCCTAGTTCCAGATAACTGAATTCCTAGCTAAGGAAACTCCAAATTTTCAAATTGAAATAGCTTTTTGGACTATATAAGTATTAATTTCTTGTAAAATATTCAAACCATAGAGAACTTGTAAAGAAGAAAGTAAAAGTCACTTAGAATGTTCCCATACAGAGTATATGGTTATTAAAATTTTAGTAACCATCCTTTTAAATGTTTGTGTACAATTGATACTGGCACTGACTTGTTATTTTTTTTGTTTCAGAACTAAATTTATGAATTTTCAGTATATAAGGATATGACTATATAATTTTAAATTCTTTCCCTTTTAATAACTGTAGTATACTTAAATATTTCTGTGTCTCTCTCTTTCTCTCTCTTTCCCTTTTAATAACTGTAGTATACTTAAATTTCTCTCTCTCTCTCTATCTCTCTCTCTCTCTCTCTCACACACACACACACACACACACACACACACCACACACACGACCCTTGTAAAATAAATTATATACAGAACTGCAATTTTATTCGGAGGGCTGTGATAGTGGTATTGAGAGAATTTCAGAGGTTTCAGGGAAGGAATCTGAAGAAACAGTAGAATGACTGAGTCAAAACTAATCTTAACATTTGTTTTGGGCAATGGGCAGTGATAGATTTAGCTGAGGGGGGAAATGCAATGATCATGGATTTCCTGTGGTTCTAGACCAGCGATTTTCAGCTGGTGTGCCACAGGAATTTTTAAAGCACGCAATGCCTGACTAGTCAGGGGCACTGACCTCTTTTCCGTTATTTTGTCAAATAAAAAAAAAGGACAATGGCCAGTACAGTAGCCATCCATTGTGAATCAAATTTATGCCTGTTGGGTTTTTGTTTTTTTTTGTTTTTGTTTTTGTTTTTGTCAGATCAGCAGAAGACATATATCTTGGTGTGCCGTAGAATTTTAGTAGTTTATGTGTGCCATGAGGTGAAAAAGGTTGAAAGTTGCTGTTCTGGACAGTTGGAAGGAATTTATTTTGAAACACTTTTAAGTGTGGTGACTTGCATTCATATTTATTGTCGGACAACTCTCTTTTTCAGGTTTCCTCAGGCATCTGCTTCCTATATATTATTACAATTTGCACAATATGGGAATATCTTAAAACATGTGGTAAGGCTTAATTCTTTTTCAGTTCAAGATTTAGGCTGAGGACAGATAGGCCATGACTAGAGGGAAACTTTGCTACTGAATTTTGTTTGCTCCTACTTTTTTTTTTTGAGTTTTCATGGAATATGTCTGTTAGAGTCTAAAAGGCTGGAAATTGTATAATATTTGTAAAAAACAGAAAATAAGCCAGAGAACTATAATTTCAGGCTTCTCTCCAACCCTTTTCTTAATTAGTTTATAGACTTTTAAAAACATAAATTATGCTAAATATTATATTACTGTTTTCCAAATTGAGCTTGTTTTATTAGAGATAAAGGAAAAAAGAGGCGTGGTTTTTTTTTTAATATATTTTATTGATTTTGTACAGAGAGGAAGGGAGAGAGATAGAGAGTTAGAAACATCGATGAGAGAGAGTCATCGATCAGCTGCCTCTTGCACACCCCCTACTGGGGATATGCCCGCAACCAAGGTACTTGCCCTTGACTGGAATCGAACCCGGGACCCTTCAGTCCCCAAGCTGACGCTCTATCCATTGAGCCAAACCGGTCTCGGCAAAAGAGGCGTTCTTGACTTACAGAGTTCTTAAGGCTTTTTCGCTTATAGAGAGCTTTAAAAAAAAAATCCTTATCCAAGGATATGTGTGTGTTTTTTTAATTAATTTTTAAAAAAATATATTTTCTTGATTTTTTTATAGAGAGGAAGGGAGAGGCAGAGAGAGTTAGAAACATCAATGGAAGAGAAACCTCGATCAGTTGCCTCCTGCACACCCCCCACTGGGAATGTACCTGCAACTAAGGTACATGCCCGTGACTGGAATTGAACCCGGGACCCTTAAGTCCGAGGGCCAATGCTCTATCCACTGAGCCAAACCAGTTTCGGCAATTAGTTAGTTTTTTGGTGGTGGTTTTTTTTTTTTAGAGAAAGATAAAGAGAAGCATCAGTTGGTTGCCTCTGTATGGTCCTGACCAGGAATTCAAAACCTTCTGGTGTACAGGACGGTGCTCCAGCCACTTGGCCAGGGCTTTGTTGTTGTTACCTTAGCCTTGCACAAGTTATAAATAATAATTTTTTTCTATTACTAGATATTGATTTACTTAACTTATATACAAAATCAGGTGATGAATACAGTTTTAAAATTTCTATAGCCAGTATTGATAAGACCTTTTTACTAGAAACCATTATCTTTTGAGAATTACTTTATTTTCAGATAATAATTTGTCACATATTCTATATATTAGAGACTTGAGAGCTAGATAGAGATTATTGAAATTGTTTAATGGGATTTATGGTGAATCCAACTATATAGCCTTTTATAGTGCATCAAACAAAAAATGGAAGCAGATTTATCTTCATATATTTCTATTTTCTAATGTAATTCATTGAGTTTAGATTTTATATATTTTACATTTTAAGAGACAGCTTTATTCTTTGCAGATGTCTAACACTGGAAATTGGATGCATATTCGTTATCAATCTAAACTGCAGGCTCGGAAAGCCTTAAGCAAAGATGGGAAGATTTTTGGCGAGTCCATCATGATTGGTGTAAAACCTTGTATAGATAAAGTAAGCTATTGCTGATGTAATCCACAAGAAAAGCACAAATCTAAATATTGACATTGGTGGTTATGTCACTTTGCTTCAGCAGGCCTCTTTTTCTTAGTTTGTAAACTGTGACTATGTTATTGTACTTTTTTCTTGGTAAGCCAAATATGTTTAGCACAAGACTTTAAAATTTAGAGGTAATCCATCCTAACTATTTCATTTTAAAGATAAAGATGAGTTGAAGAGGACTTAAGTAATTTATCCAGAGTTGTTAAAGGTGAGGCCTAGATTTTACTCTAGGTCTCTTAACTTCTAACCCAGTCTCTGGCTTATGCAAAGCAGCATCAAATTATTTAATTACTTTAAAGGAACAGTGCTATTTCAGAATTAAATACTTCACATGAGGGTTAATTTAAATGGTGGAAGCTTTTTATTTCTATTTTAAAATATTTAAAATTTATATATTTCTTTACTTTATAAAACAATACTGAGCACAACTTAGTTTTCTTTGTGACATTAAAGTCATCCTGATTCTTCTTTTTTTAATAAAATACATGTTTATTGATTTCAGAGAGGAAAGGAGTAGGAGAGAGAGAGAAAGAGAAACATCAATGATGAAAGAGAATCATTGATTGGCTGCCTCCTGCATGCTCCCCACTGGGGATCAACCCCGCAACCTGGGCATGTGCCCTTGACTGGATTCGAACCTGGCACCCCTCAGTCCACAGACCAACACTGTCTACTGAGCCAAACCGGTTAGGGCCTGATCATTCTTTAAGTAAATAAATGGGAAATGTACTACCTCCCAGGGACTGCTTGGAGATTATATACACACTAATGCACAAAGTAAACATGGTTCTTGGTGCTCATAGTCTAGGATCACTGGTACTAGATGTTTGCAGAGGATAGATGAGAATTTGGGGTTATAGGTACTAAATGGCATTGGACTTTAATTTTCCTTTCCCCAAAGTCTTTTTTTCTTCTTCTTACTGATTTTCCATAGTGTTTGTTAGGAGATTCTTACTCTTATGAATCTATATCGTTTTGAGGATGTTTGAAGTCATTGGAGTTAAATTTCTGGCTGAACATTAGATCTCAAATGCTAGCCAAAAAGCATACATTGTTTAATCAAACCAAAAATTATTAAAAATATTACTTAGATCAAATAGAGTATATCTTTTAATAAAGTTTTCTTTGTAAGTAGGATGTAATAATGTATTATGTTTATAACCAGAGAAGTTCTTTATCTTTGTTCCTCTAGAGTGTTATGGAAAACAGTGACAGGAATGCTGTATCATCTTCATCTCTAGCCTTTACACCTCCAATCAAGACCTTAGGAACACCATCCCAGCCTGGAAGTACTCCTAGGATATCCACCATGAGGCCTCTTGCTACAGCATACAAAGCTTCTACCAGTGACTATCAGGTATTTTAAGGGTTGGATAAAAAGAATGTACTTTAAAGGTTGAAGTGCTTGCTTAGCATGTTTGACTTTTTCATTGGATTGATTTGTATGCCATTAAATATTTCCCACTGAAGTGATTGACTTGATGAAACCTATAAACTTTACATTTTTTCATTTCCTATTTTAAAAATTAGAATTTTGGTCAATTGGAAACTTACCTTGAATTTTTTTAAAAAAATTCTTTGCTATTTTAAAAAACATTTTAATAGTCTAATTTGTGTTTGGTTTTTTTTCTAAGTTATTTTGGCACATGTGAACCTTTCTGGCATGAGGGAATATTAAAAAACCTATTAAATTGATAGTTAAATCTGATGGTATCACAATTGAAGAGCTTTCAGTTCTGTTGGAATAGAAAACATTGACCAGTTTTCATTTCAAATTTTCTCATTTTAAAAATGTTTGAAGGGTAAATTTATTTATATTCATTGAAGAGTAGGAGTATTATGACTCATCTCAGTATGTTATTGTCCCCTAATTAATAAGGCAGGAGTTCTGAACTTGCCTAGCAACAGACCTGGGTTCTAAAACAGCAAATAAAAAAGTTGTCAATTTAGTCTTTTGACTTTCTCTTGAAATTTGGAGATCATTCTTGAACTAGTGACATTTTTTCCCTTTAGTTTCTTCTTTTTTTAAAACCAATATTTTAAAGCCCTCATCTCTAGTAACTTTTGTGTTTCTCCAGTTTTCTAATTTAAGTAGCAGCTGTAATTTGCTTTGCCAAAGGAATAAGATTTTACCGTTTTTAAAAACATAAAGGCCCTAACTGGTTTGGCTCAGTAGATAGAGCGTTGGCCTGCGGACTTAAGGGCCCCACATTTGATTCCAGTCAAGGGCATGTACCTTAGTTGCGGGCACATTCCCAGTAAGGAGTGTGCAGGAGGCAGCTGATTGATGTTTCTTCCTCTCAATGTTGCCAACTCTCTATCCCTCTCCCTTCCTCTCTGTAAAAAATCATTAAAATATATTTTAAAAACAAAACATAAGGACATCTTAACCAAAGCTATGTTTTAACCTTTAAATATACAGCTCATTTCTACAAATGCATTTTAATGTTTGGCTCTATTAAATTAACCATTAACTCTAGAATTAATTATGATATTGAAGAAAACATAATCTTAACAATTGTGTTTTTTCAAAATAGGTCATTTCTGACAGACAGACACCAAAAAAAGATGAAAGTCTTGTATCCAAAGCAATGGAGTACATGTTTGGCTGGTAGTATACTGAGAGCTGAGAACTCAGCCAACTACAAAGGAAGAGGCTGCTGCACTAAAACAGGGCACCGCCGGTTTGTCTTCGGTTAGTTATATAACCACTCTCGGCAGTGTTGGACAGCTATCTCATACTTCTTTTAGAAGCCTTTCTCTTTAAGGACACAGCATATTTGTAGCTCCCACTTTAAGAGATGCTTGAGACATGTTTTAAAGAAACAAAAAAAACCTCTGTAAATAGGATTTTGTGTTTTCTGTGGTAATGCATGTGTAAACACAAAATGTTCAACATTGGTAACTAAATTATATAATTGAGTGCATTGAGGCTTTGTAGTCATGAGTTGGTGGGTGAATTTCATGAAGGGGAACTGAACAGCTGCTTCTAACAAGACACAAAGATTGTTAACAATTTGAATTATGGCCTTTTAATTTAGATAGTATTTAATATTTTAATTATCCTTGTTTGTATATGTCTTATCGTGGATTGTCATCTTTCCGTATTCTTAAACCAAAACAGTCTTTTAAAAGACCTTCTAATGTTCTTGATAATAAACTTTGCCAATTATATGTATCAAATGTTTTTGAAAGAATGATTTATTACAAAAAATTCTAAGTGCCTGCTGAAATAGAGCAAATCTGTCATGAACTGTTACATACCCATAATCCAGCTTTAGTAACCACCAGTATGTTGTCATACTTTTTTTCTCTACCTCTTTTATTTTGTTGAAAGCATATCTCAAATGTGATGTCAGTTAATCTAAAATACTTGAGGCTATATCAAAAAAGACATTTCCATATGTGAATACAATGCCAGTATTATACCTACAGAATTAATCATGATTTTTTAATATCTAATATCCAATTTAAAATTTTCCCAGTTGACTTAAATGTACTTACAGTTGGTGTACACATGTATTTGGTTGTTTAGTCTTTGGAGAGTCTTGAAATCTAAATCAGTCCCCTTACCCCCAAACACACAGCAACTTATTGAAGGAACCATGTGTGAGTTTCCTGTAGCGCCTCATGGACTGAATTTGGTTGTTTTCTTGCTTAACTTGTTCATTATCTATCCTGTATCCTACAAGCATGTCAAACTTGTGGCAGACGAGTTTCACATGCTTGCCAGAAGTTAGCTCTAGAGAGGATTAATTAGATTATGGGGTGGTTTTTGTCTGTTTTTTAGCAAGGGTATTTCACATTAGTATGGTGTACTCTCAGATGAAATCAAGAGGCACCTAATTCTGATATTCCCCCTTTTAATGATGCTCAGGTTGGTCCTGGCCACATGGCAGAAGAAGCCTTACACCTTCATTGGAAAGTCCCCTGTCACGTTTTTACATCATTTTTTTAAAGCATGCATTAATGACACGTGTAAATCAGTTATTCCACTAAGGTTTGGAAGGATGATTTTTCCAAATATATCATTCCCGATGTATTTATCATTTGGAATTCTTTTAAATAGAGGAACTTTGATCCATCCATGAATGGCACTATTTGTCTATCATGGAATACATATGTGACAATGTAGAATAAATATTTAGTCCTTTCTCTTTATTAGTTTTCAGAGTAATTTTTGGTGCCCTAGCAACCTCCATTGGTGTCCATTGGTAATTAAAAATTTTCTCCTTTTCATTATCACTGTGAGCTTAGGACTTTTTTTTTTCTTAATTTACCGTTTCAGTCATCATTCATTTGTTCAGATTATCCCCTTTGGCTGGTGAGAACCTCATCAAGGTGGTTGTTACGTGTAAAGGGAGTTTTTAATTGAAATATATTTCACCATATTACATGTGTCTAGGTAATCTGCATCTTTAATATAGCTTTATAGAGAATAACTAAAATAACACATTGTATGGAAAGTTTTGATATGCTTTTTAAATCCCAGGCAAACTACCATTGAAGACTTCTTTAGTTCTCTAAGATAAAGTGATTCTAAAGAAGGTACTGGCATGTATGAAAATCAATTTGTTTCATTTATAGAGTACTTTTTCATCTAAAATTTTTACATTTTTACAACTTAAATAATTATATTTCATTACATGTAGGACTCAATTATTTAAGATAGAACTGGCTACTAAATCACGTTAAACTCGCATTTGAGATACACACACTTTTGTAAAAAAAAAAAAAAAAACAACTGGGTTTTTTGTTTTTTTTATTTTGTTTTTGTTTTTTATTTATATAGACCTCTGTGGAGCATGAAGTTTATCTGACTAAAAATATGCAATATTAAATATTCAAACAATATGTTTGTTTGTTTTTTACTTAGCATTATATTATGTGTGTCTTTGTACCCATCACAGCATTTATTCAGGGAGTCAGGAAATAACATGTGCCACGGCAGCATGTTGAACACCGCACACGTACCCAGTGTTATGTCTCACTCATGTCCCAATAATAAATAAAATTACTAAAAACCAGGAACAAAAACGAAAAAAGTGCCCTGTCCAGTTTGGCTCCGTGGATAGAGTGTTGGCCTGTGGACTGAAGGGTTCCAGGTTCAATTCTAGTCAAGGGCATGTACCTTGGTTGTGGGCATATTCCCAGTAGAAGGTGTGCAAAAGGGAGCTGATTGATGTTCCTCTCCCATCGGTGTTTTTAACTCTGTCCTCCCTTCCTCTCTAAAAAATCAATAAAATATATATTTTAAAAAACACATGAAAAAAAGCTATGAAATCTCAGAAAGTAAGTTGCCTTACTTTCCCGTACTTTATAAAGCAACAGAAGGAGCAACTCTGAGCTAGAGAAGTTATCCTGAAACAAGTCTCTTTCTAAAAGTTCAGAACAGCTCATTTCACACCAAAATAAGTAACATAAACTACAATATATAGTCCTGCAAGATTTTTACATCCTTTATCCAAGCATGTCAGAAAGGCATGCCCATAAAGACTGTACCCTATTATTTAAAAGTAGGTTATATGATGTTTCAAAAATGATTAAAAATGTGAAAGAATACCAAAAACCAGAATACAGAAAATACTATAAATAAAGGGGAAAAATAATTTAGAAACGAAGACTAAACTAGAATAAACACTAAGGCTCAGAGGCCGTCTCCATAGCCGCGGGCCTGAGTGGGCTGCCCGTTTGTGGGCAAGGTGCCCTCTTCTATGTGAGTAGCGCACCTGGCAGAGTGTCCCCGCAGCGTGTGGAGGGCAGAGCAGAGGACTCTGGTGCTAGAGGCTGCTTCCAGGTCCTGGCCACCAGGCCCCAGCCTGTGCCCCGAAGGGATCTGTGCTGATAGAGCGGCAGTCTCAGATGCACAGAGGGCCCCAGAGCCTCCTGTGACCATGGGGACCACACACATCCGCGGCAGAGACCACCCCGATTCCCAGTCCAGCTGTGCTCCATGCCGGCTGAGGGGAGCCCCCGCCGCCGTGGCCTGGTTCTGACCTGGGACATGGGGATGATGCGTGGGGCTGGCTCCCAGTGAGCAGGGGCTGGGTGGCGAGGTGCCTCCTACTCTCCGCAGTAACAGGACCCGGCCAGCAGAGGGCGACAGCCCCTGCCTCCTCCCAAGGCAGGCAGCTGGGGACTGGGCTGGGCGGACAGCACAGCTGCTTCCTCTTGAGGAGGACTAAGGGGGAGGCTGTAAGATGGCTCTGGAGCCAGCGGGGCATCCAGTAGTTGCCCTGTGAGGCCTGTTCTGCCTAACCACCCCACCGACCGGTCCCCTCCGGTGGCCGCAGAGCTCAGGCTGAGCCCTCCAAGACCTGGGGCAACCTCCCCCCATCCCACCCACACTGCCTGCCCCACCTCCAGACCCGGTCTGAGGACCCTGGGCTGAAGGCAGGACCTGGGGAGCAGGTGACCGGCTGGGGCCCGGGCCCAACAGGTCCCGGGAGCTACAGGGGAGCGCTGAGGATGCTGTGTGCTGACTGGGGGCCCAGGGGACGCGAGATGCTGCCATGGGGGGGTTGGGGGGGAGAGGTCACAGGTCAAGGGGACAGAGGCTCTGGGCACCCAGGCTTCCATTTTCCTCTGTCCTTTTCCAGCTGTGTACCTCAAAGGAAGAAGCCCCTCGCCCCGTCTGTGCAGCCTGTAGCTTCACGCGTGGGCAGATGCACAGTGGGGGTGGGGCCAGCCGGAGAGCTGAGAGGCTCACTTGATGGAGGTGGGGCCACCCGATTGGCCAGAGGTACCCACCTGATCAGGAGGCTGGGCCCTGTGATTGGCTGGAGGTGCACACGTGATCAGGGGGTGTGGCCACGTGGACAGCTAGGCTGTGCACATGATCAAGAGGCGGGGCAGCATGATTGGCTGGAGCTGTGGGCGTGTTAGGGGTGTGGCCACCTGGACAGCTGGACGTATGCACGTGACTAGGGGGCAGTGCCGCATGATTGGCTGCAGGTGTGGGCATGAAAGGGGCGGGGTCATGTTATTGGCCAGAGGTGTGCACGCGGTCAGGGCACGGGCCCTCAAGCGCACAGGTGAACAAGGTGTGGGCTTCTGTGAGGACGGAGGCGGAATCAGGTGAGGATGGCGGGAGAGGCCAGGCCAAGAGGAGGGTACCATGGAGGCATGGGGCCAGTAGGAAAGGAACCCCAAGAGCTGTTGGTTTTAGATCTTTGTTCTTTTTTTTAACTTAGTGAAAGTGCACGCTGCTTTGCGTGGTGGTGAAATCTCGCAAGATGGCCGCTCACTCTGAACACCAGTCCTCCCTGTTGAAATCTCGCGAGATGTCTCACCCTCTCGCCCTGCTCAGGCTGCCTGAATGCCAGTCTTCCCTCCTCAGCTTCAGAGTCTCTCCACAGTTGAGTGTCCCGCCTCTGGCCGAGTGCAATGATGGCCGCAGAGCAGAAGAGCAGTGGCTCTGGCAATTCAGATATACCCCGAGAAGCGGCCAAGTGTGTCCCTTCCGTGAGTTACTGCCAAAACCTGTTTGGCTCAATGGATAGAGTGTCGGCTTGGGGACTGAAGGGTCCTGGGTTCGATTCCGGTCAAGGGCATGTACCTTGGTTGCGGGCATATCCCCAGTAGGGGGTGTGCAAGAGGCAGCTGATCGATGACTCTCTCTCATCGATGTTTCTCTCTATCTCTCTCCCTTTCTCTCTGTACAAAATCAATAAAATATATATTTTTTTAAAAAGAAAAGGTGAGTTACTGAAATAAGATATTTTGAAAGAGATCACACTGACTTAACTTTTATTTATTTATTTATTTATTTATTTATTTATTTATAGAATGAACTCTCTCTTTTTTTTAATAAATCTTTATTGTTCATATTATTACAAATATTCCTCATTTTTCCCCCCTCCATTGCTCCCCTCCACCAGGTTCCTACCCCATCCTCTGCCCTTTCCCAACCCCCCATTGTCCTCATCCATGGGTACACAGTTTATGTTCAGCCTCTTCCCACACCCCCCACTCCTCTTTTCCTCGCGAATCATCAGTCCACTCCCCTTCCATACCTCTGATTCTATTATATTCAACAGTTAATATTGTTCATCAGGTTTTTTAATTCCCTTAGTTTTTAGATTCACTTGTTGATAGCTATGTGTTTGTTGTTCATAATTTTTATCTTTATTTTCTTTCTCTTCCAAAAGAACCCCCTTCAGCAATTCATGTAA